TAGGCTTTCATGTACTCCCCAATATCATTTATGAAGACAGCCTGATATATGACCTGATGCTGTTTATGTATCATGACAGCATGGCTTCATCCTGAAAGAAATAACCAATTTAAAACAACATCAGAAAGAGGGACTTTCAAACTATGCCATGAATGATGTTGTGAATAACTTTGAATGTTTGGTGAAGGATTTCTATGTTGGGTGAAGTGTAAGCGAAGTAAATCAGTGTGGAAATGACGAATAGTGAGAATGGAAGAGCATGTAAAATGGTGGGAAAGATCAAGTTATGACATATTGACACCACTTTTACAGTAACTATCACTAGAATAACATTCTGAATTAAATATTGTTTCATATTACAAGCAAAGGAGAAATTACAAACAGTTATATGAAGCATTAATACATAATACACAACTACTAACATGTAAATATAAGTACCTTGTATGTGCTGCTGCCAGTGCCATCTCTGCCTCAGTTGTCAGCAGGAAAATTGTAAACAACCGATGACATCACATGTTTCGACATATTAACAGATTGGATGAATTAACATGCACAACATGTTATGTTATAGAACTGATAGCATTCCAGATTTAATAGTGCTGATTATTGATTCCAAAATAACAGCTTTTTTTACAGTTCATCTTGGCAAGTACAATTTCATTATCAGCATGTTTCTTTTGAGTGACAAGGATGAATATCAGAAGATTATTTTTCAGGTTGATACACTGAAATTGTACAAATGTGTCTGATTAGTTTCTTTTTCTTAAATTATAACTTATCTTTCATTTGACAATTTTTCTGAATACAGTTAACATTTCAATAATCCATTATTTCTTCTTTATTATCACTCTTCATTGTTGTATTCTATGTTGTACGGAACTGCAGAGAGGTAAAATAATTTGGCCTTTCCTGATTGGTTAAAGAAACCAGATCAGATGGACTCATTAATAAAATGTGACCAAGCTTTTTTAGCTTGAAATGGGTTAAAAATCAACATATTTCGGATATCTTGGTATGCTTGAAATACTTACAGATGACACAAAAAGGGCATTTGAATTGGTTGTTTTGTACAAAATTTTTGGGTTGTGAAACCATAAACAAGGAAAACTTCTTTGAAGTTATCTTGTTAAAAGCAACATACCCAAGGGGCCTGCATTGCTCACCTGGCTAATTTAGCTATTCAGCCATTTGATAAAGAATTTCAAATATGACAAACAATGTCTGATATAATTTTCCTATTGGGTCCTGCCATTGTGGTCAAATATACTCAACAAAAAAGGAAATGATATTTTGGGAAATTTGCACAAAATTTTATATCACTGTGAAGGGAAAAGTCTATATTTTATAATACTGTACAAGAAACGTCTTTGTGATGTCACTTTTGTCATCAGTAGTTACACAAAGTGGGATCCCCCTAGAAAAACAAAATGACACTTCATTACCTGGTGTGGGTATCTCTTGCACAAATCCTTGCACAGATTCTCCTATGCATTGAATTCATGAGAACACGAAGGAGGATTTTACTCCATAGGCGATGCCTCCTCAAACTATGACATATATCCCATCGAATCTATCGCATTCAACCACACATGCGTTAGTGAAAACACTCACTGCGTCTGCGACATACCATTTTTTTTCTATCTGAGCAATACAGACATAGTCTAGACTTGTCAGTGAACATCACATGCCTCCATTGACACATCCCAATCCTATTCAGGTCATATCTGTGCATCCAGTCAAGACACACTTACTGCCTCTGTGGTGTCAGAAGTGGACTGACATAAGGTCAGCGTGCAATGATTCTCTCAGCAGGCAAGTGGTTCCTGTCAGTTTGAGCACTAATGGGTCTACCATGAGTACCTAAGGTATGTGACACAGTCTCTACAGCAGACTTGAATCTGTTGTGCAAGTGCGACAATCAAATTGCCCTGTCTTGTTGTGCGGTCGTTACAACTGTATAGAGATGGCTAATTTTGCACAGGGCAACGCCAAACTGCAGCGCGGTAGCAGTTTGGCTATGACCATCCATCAACATCGCAATTGCTCTACCCCTTTGAATTTGCATTAAGTGTGGCATCTTGGTCAATAGCGAAATCAATGCCAATGTGGAAAATTAATGTGGCTGAACTTGGAGTATCTGTTGAAATTATTCATTTAAAAAATCCAGCTTGGCTTGATCTTGTAGGATTCACTATTGATAAAAATTGCTTCAGACCAAACTTTTACAATATCCTTGTATGGAAAAAAAGACTTTTAAGAACTTCCTTTTCCCCAATGTGGCCAAAACCTCCCACCCAATGGCTGTGGGGTGCACATTTTATACAGAACTTAGCTCCGGTCATCAAAGAATACTTAAGATCAAATTCCAGTAACATCCATTTATTCTTGCAGGAGGAGTATGATTTTTACAAGAGATCTGTGAGGGATCTTGGCACCCACCACTGTTGGATCTTATTTGCTCTTTGAAAGTTTGATCTTTTCCCTTCTTTTCTCTTCTCAGATTTTGCTCTTAATGATAAGAAATTTGAACATTCCATTGCAGAAATAGTGATGATAATCTTTACTAGGCAAAATCCAAGATGGGTGCCTGAGAGGCATTTTGTTTTACTGATCCGTATCAAATTTAAACAGGTACAACTAGGGACCACAATAAATGTATACAAGAAATCAGAGAAAGATCTATAAAGCATCCCTCAAGAAATAACAATAACAAGCTTTCAAAGTGAAAATCCAAGAGGTCATTTTCATTATCTGATCAGTACCAAAATCAAACAGGCACAAGGGATTAATGGAAAAATACATGAAATTTGAGAAAAATCTATGCTGTAGTGCACATGAAATAGCGATAATAAAGTTTCAAAGTCAAAATCCAAGATGGCCGCCTGTCAGCCATTTCATTTATCTGATAAAGCTGAAAATAAATGGGCACAACAAGGGACAAAAAGGAACCTACTTCTGAAATTTAAAAGAAAGATCCATCAAGAAATTCTCAAGAAATAGCAATAACAAACTTGCAAAATCAAAATTAAAGATGGTCGCATGTTGACCATTTTGTTTTTCTGATCATACCCACAATTATAGTACAAAGGTTATCAGAAAATCATATACTGATGCTTGATAGCAGCACATGCTGCATTGCAGTCTGCCATCATACTGCAATACAACATCTATACTAAACAAAAAAAGAAAGGTAACACTACTTTATTCTGTGATTAATTAATTAACCCTTTCATAAATCCTTACCAATCATGTACGAATAAAGTAATTGATCAATTCTGATAAAACTGCAGTCATGGTTCATTATAAAACTTTGCGTTCAGTTGATTATATTCGACTGTAAAGGACTTTGGGGTCAATTTCAAAGGTAACACCATTAGTAACGGGTATGGCCACCGTTTGCGAAGTAAACAGCATTGCAGCGTCGTCGCATGGAACTCATAAACCAGCGGATAATTCGAGGAGAGATGTTGTTCCATTCAGTGATCAAGGCTTGGGCCAGCTCCTGCAAGTTTGACGGCTGATTTTGACATTCTCTCACGCGTCGCCCAAGAACGTCCCAGACATACTCAATCGGTGACAAATCAGGTGATTTAGATGGCCAATCTAACACCTGTACGTTATTCTGCTGCAAGAAAGTTCTGCTGACGCGACTGGTGTGCGCTGGTGCAAATCCTGTTGAAAAATGGCTCCAACGCCATGGCGTCTTAAGAATGGCAGAACCACTGGTCTTAAAATTTCGTCCCGATATCGAATGCCGGTTGAATTGCTATTTAACACAACAAGCCTGGTATGAGTCCCCCCACAAATACCACCCCAAACCATTACACTTCCGCCGCCAAAGCGGTCCCGTTCTGCGACGCAGCAGTTCGCAAAACGCTTCCCTCGTCGCCTCCGCGCTTTCAATTGGTAGGCCCTCAACCTGTTGCGGACTGTTTTGGGAGACACACGACGCCAAAACAATGTTCTTGTAGTCTCTACTGCGGTAACGAATCGATTGCGCAAGTGTATCAATCGTATACGACGGTCATCCCTGGTGGTCGTTTTACGGGGTCGGCTGCTTCGGGGACGATTGGATGTTGACTCAGTTTGGTTTAAACGACTTACCAACTGGCAAATTGTCTTAACACTGCAACCAAAATGCCGTGCAACTCGACAGTGAGACTCCCCAGCCTAGATCATGCCTACAGCCCTTTCTCTCTGTACTTCTGACAGCCGGGGCATAATGATTAAGTTGATAGATAGCACGATTCGGTGATTTCTAAGTCCTTAGGATCTAAGGAACAGTTGTCAGTTTGAATGTTTATGAAATTCAAGTGAAGATACAAGTTAGTCGCAGAAAACCTTGTGCAGCTCTTTTGCTAATAGAGACTTTCACGCTTGAATGATTTTGGTAACCCCCATGGATTTTGTAATGTAAAACATTACCATTTTCTAATATTGCACAAACGTCATTTTGTTTTCACTCATTTACAGGTATTTGCCAAGGAAACATGTTAACCTTTCTTTTTTTGTTGAGTATACTGCATCAATGCTGCAATTTTTGTCTCACAAATATATGCAGAGTGGCAGATCATGCTGCTTTTCAGCATACTCACATGCAGCAATACAGTATGTACTGCAACAATGCTGTCAAGTTTGCTGCATAATGCAAGCTTTCAAAGAAACATAGCAGCAGCACATGCTGCATTGAAGCAATTTCAAAAGAGAAAAAAAATAAGGGTGAATTATGAAAGTGATCACTGATTTTTCATATAAACACTTAATTTCAAAATTTTACAATGGTACATTCAGTATTAACACAAACATATAACTAAACAGTTTGAGGACTTTTTTGATGGCTTAGGGTCTACCAGTGCTAAGCTACCAGGAAAGATTAAAATCATTCATTTCTATGTAATCCTTTGATGATGTTGAAGACATGGAATTGGGGAACACTTTATAAAAGTATTATCCAAATATAAAGAGAAACTTGAGAAAGACAGAATATTTTGTTGACCAACCTGATGCAGTGTAAAAACTGTAGCCCTGGAGGGGATTCGTAGTACACCAGGTCCATGTGGTAATCAAGCTTCACAGATGAGTATGCTACATTGATCGGATTTGGAGTACTCTCAACACCAAATAACTGTAATAAAGAATGAAGCTTCAGACTTGAACTAAGTAATAAAGTTGTTACAGCACATAGACAATCCAATAAAGGAGTCACCAGAAAATCTTCACTGAAGATAACATACATAAAAAACTATAAATCAAACTTTGATCATTCAAATTTCTCGATGCATCAAAGTTTTTGTCCGGTCCAAAATTTTATTCCTATATTTTACTACTAACTTATCCCCTTATGAATCTAAGTTTAATAAATCAAACTTTTTGATGTATCAAAGTTTTTTACACAGACCATAATCTATGATAACATAGTAACTAACACCTCATGATTCCAACAAAACAGTTACCAGTACTGTAAAGGTATTTTTGCCCGACGCAATATTTCACACATTTCAATGAAGAATGCTACCTGACAATGGGATTATGATTGCCCACTATCATTAGCTCTGTGTTACAGGGTTAATTAATGACTAGACACAGATTTAAATTCAATTGTTTACTTACAAGTAATGATCCATTGTGGTGATGGAACTTCGGTCTAATTTACAGAATTTTGAAAACAATCGGAGGAAATCCTATCACTTGTTTGATGATTTCACTCATTCCAAAGCATGGCGTTTTAGTTTTAGGCATGAATACAAGAGAATCACAGTGATTTATTTGTCTATCATGCAGTCTTTGATAGATTCAGGTTAGATGTTGTCAAAAAACATCAGCAAACACTCCTGTTATTTCTATGGACCAAGATATGTAATATTAATGCTGTTGTTGCTTGACAGAATACATTATGATATTAATTTCCTTTTATTTGAAATTCATTAGTGCCTATGGCGTTGATGTATTTGTCTTAAAATAATTACTGTAACACGTGAAGACCACTTTAATGCTGCACGTAGTTTCATTTAAAAACGACTCATAAAATGCATATGTTGTGTGACATGACTGATTGGTTTCCTGTTGATGTTTATTTAAAGTTATGTTTTTTTTTTTCATGAATGAAAATGTTTTGTTTAAAGATAAAAATGCATCTTTTCATTTAATCTTGTGTTTTGGTATTTTGGCATGATTTAAAGTCTTGATGTATCAGTTTTTTTGGTAGTCCCTTGAACTTGGAAACATCGAAGTTTGACTGTATATCAATGCAAACTATCTGAGTCAACATCATGCAAAATCTGGACAAGGCGTTTGCAAATGAGATAGCAACTAGCAAGACAGAAAACTAATCATCGTCAAAGACTGGCCTGTTTGGGACAATGAAAATATATCGATTATAATGTTATCAGGCAATGAAACATGTTCAACTGTTAAGAAAATTGTATTTTTTTCACATCGGATATTGCAAACAAACGATAATTGGATAGGTAGATAAGTGAATGAATGAAATGATTTTGTTAAAAAAGTTAGATGACTTTAACTTTATTTTACACATAATGCAAATGCAATTGCATATACATTAACTGCTGTCACATGCTAAGACTTCTAACCAAATTTGAATTAGAAAAAAATTACACTCAAGATTTGAATTTTCCTATATAAAATCGTCCATCCAGGAACACAAGGACATCTATGAAATTTCAATCAGTGTGACCCATTTTTTATCAATTTTTGCAATTTCCTCACATTTCCATGATATGTTAATTTTTATTCAATTTTCAATTATGGTTATATGTGTAATGATAAAATATTTATTGAGAAGCATCATACAGCTTCTGAATTGCATATAAAAAGATGCCCAATAGTCCTGCAGTTCTTACTTGGTATATATATGCCAGCCAAATATCATGCCTCTTGGCCTTTCAGTTCATGAGAAGAAGTCGTTCAAATGTTTTGACAAATTTGACTTTTAAGATAGGTCAAGGTAATTTTATTTTCTGAAATTTGTCAGGCTGCATCCTAGGAACATACCAACCAAATATCATGCCTCTACACCTTTTAGTTCATGAGAAGAAGTTTTTAAATGTTTTAATTAATATCACCCCTGTGATCTTGAATATTAGTCATGGTCATTCATTTTTTGCAAACTATGTTGGTCTTCAGTGCCTCTAGGCCTTTTAGTTCATGAGAAGACTTGTTTTAAATTTGACCCTGTGTCCTTATAAAATCGCAAAATGGAAGTATGAAAACTGTAAATGTACCCCCTGGCATAAAATGTACCCCCGTATCGAATGATCTCAATTTTTTATTTTCAATTCTATGTTAACAAAACAATTTTTAAGCCTGAATGGGGAAAGTCTATTCATTCCAACCCTCCTATTCCCTGCATTAAGAGCAGGAAAATTGCTGGTAAATTGTTTTTAACTATTTTCACATCTCTCACAGTTAGGACAAACACTTGTTTAAATTCTTGCACCAGGGGTGGGGATTAGGAGGGTTGGGATGGACAGACATTCCCTGGTCTTATTCTAGCCATATGGTAACTTGCAAGGGTACTTGGCAATAGATTTTTGTTAGAGGGGTTACATTTTAGACAGGTGTAAAAAAGTATATTGGGGGTTACATTTTAGACAGGTGTATAAAAAGTATATTGGTGGTTACATTTTAGACAGGTGTATAAAAAGTATATTGGGGGGTTACATTTTAGACAGGTGTATAAAAAGTATATTGGGGGTTACATTTTTGACAGGTGTATAAAAAATTTATTGGAGGTTACATTTTAGACTGGTGTATAAAAAGTATATTGGGGATTACATTTTAGACAGGTGTAAAAAAGTATTGCTGGAGTGGGGAATAGACAAAAGATTTGCTGGGAGGGTTTGAACATGTTTGTCCTTTGATTGAGTGAGATGAAAATAGTTAAATGAAAATAATGTGATATTTTCCTGCCCCTGGGTCGGAGGTTAGGAGGGATGTGATGGATAGACATTCCCTAGTCTTACTCTAGCAACATGGTAACTTGGTAACCTTATTGCAAAACAATTATTTTACAAAACAAAATGTGTAACCTTTTTGACAACAATTTATACAATTCAAAAGGATTGGTAGGTTTAATGGAAAACATATGAACATTAATGCTGATCCTATCCCATATTAGTGTCAAAAGTCTTAAGTCAGTTGCTAGGTTAAGTTTTATGAAACAAATTGAAATTGAAACAAACAAAAAGTCCAATTTCTAACGCATAAATCATCTTGACCATGATTTAAGTCAGCATTCATTCATTAGCTACCTAGTTTCAGTTGGTGCTCTGGGAATTATGGCCAATAAAGTGCATGCAGATTGTATAACTTTTACACGTTCATGGACAGATTGAAATTTAGTCCATGACATGTGGACCTAGTGGTCTATTTCACAGTCCTGGATAGATTGCCTTATATTGTGGGTGTCCAAATAATGCGCTGATCTGTCAGGGACGGCAATATACCGTGGACAGTTGTCCATGCAGTAGTCAGGAGAGTGGACAGAGCTGTCCATCACGGAAAATGCAACATCTGCATGAGCTGTGGTGCATCTCCTAACTAAAACTAAGACCTATATAATTTATATTATAATTTTTTTTGTTTTCCGTTTTGCATTTGTGTTTATTTTAAATCGTTCAGAATTTAGCACTTGCACTTTCCATTTATTGCAACCATTTAGCATTTGCAAATATGATCGTTTGTGTTTCACCAAATATTCTTGGTTTTGGTCCTCTTGTTTATTTAGTGCAGGTTTAATTGACAACAAGAGGGCCATGGCTGTAAGCAGACAGACTGACACATTACTACCAGCTAAGGCTAAGGGAGTTTTACATAAGATTAATGGGTATACCTATTAATCATATGTGTGATAGGGGAAGTCAAGAGTGTGGCAGGGGTATAAAAGGTATTACCACCATGGCAAGCAGGCTTTCAAAATACTTAGCAGAGGTCAATTTGAGAAGGGATTCTCAAGACTAATAGGGAATGTTAAATGTGTTGTATAGTGCAAAAAGATTTGTAAATAGAACTTTAACTGTTGAGATGTGTTTCAAATTACTACTGGATAAATTCACCCAGTCAGGTTACAATACATTACATTTGTATTGATAAATGGCTTATGATAAACATCTTGCAAACTGGAAGCTGAACACATATAAGTTATTTTGACTGAAGCAAGAACTTAACCACCAATTTAAAATCAATAGATGACTTCAGAGGATTATATCTGATCTGGATTACTTACTTTCACCCAGGTGATCTCCATATATATCAAACTTTCTTTCAAAGCATTATTCTGCATGAAAATTTGTAACAAATGAAAAATCACATCTAAATGAGCTAGTCCAAAGGCCATTCACCTGTAAATGTTGCATGTCAAGGGTTATGGTGCTTGCTGCCAATAACTTGCAAATGAAACAAAGGTAGTTAGAAGATAGATTAACAGAGCACTAAACATTGACACCTGGTCAAAATAACTTGTGATTAAGAAAACTGAATACCTTGCCATAGATTGTCTCCTGTACTGGACCTATTCTTTGTACCACCTGTAACAATAATTAATACAAATACTCAGTGAAATAAAAATGGCAAAATTAATTCAGTTGTGTGGTCAACAATCAATGATAATGTCCCTTGGAAATCATTTGAGGCTACCTTGAAAGGCCACTTGAAACCTTTCAAAAATCTACCTTTTACCCAACTAACGTCCCTTATGAACAAACTTAGGTCACAAGTCAGATTTACTAACGTCCAACCCGCGGCTTAGTAAAAAGCTGCCCAATGCTTACCTGAATCTATGTATATAACTTTCCATCAATAATCAGTTTTCATTATCAAATTTGTTTGGAAACACAGAAAGCTTTCTGCTATTATGCACATCTATGGAACAAGGGGAACTCAAATGATGTATGAAAAAGATTAAGCATTAAGAAAGAGTAGCATTTTAAAGCAAAATATTGACTTAACTTTCCATTTGGGACTCCCCCAAGTCCCTAGGTGTCAATTCAACCTTCTGAATTTAAGAAATGATTGCCATTCTCATTGATGTCTCAGAATAAATTTAGTTAATATCCATCAAACATTAAGAAAGAGCATTTGAAGCAAAATATTGACTAACTTCCCCTTTTGGGGCCTTGGCCAAAAAACCCTAGGGGTCAAGTTGACATTTTGAATTTGAGGAATGATTCCCTATTCTCCATGATGTTTCAAACAGAATTTGGTTAACATCCATCCAAGCACTAAGGAAGAGTATCATTTTGCTGTAAAATAATTCACTAACTTGCCCTTTTTGTGGCACGCCCCCAAGACCCTTCGGGTTCAATTAACTTTCTGTAACTCAAAGACAAGGCGTTATCACTTGCATTCCTAAGGGAGATAAACCTAGGCAATTCTTGAAAAACTGGAGACCTATTACTCTACTAAATATTATCTATAAAATCGCTTCAGGTTGTATAGCTTATAGGATTAGGACAGTTTTTGATAAGATAATATCAGACTTGTTTATGATATCATGCAATTTGCAGAGGATAGAAACTTGCCTGGAATGCTTTTAATGTTAGATTTTGAGAAAGCTTTTGACTCTGTCTCATGGAAATATGTTGATAAGGTATTTACATTTTTTAATTTCGGTCCTGAGATTCGAAAATGGGTTAAGGTATTACATACTAATGTCTCAGCTACTGTAAACCAGGGAGGTAATCTGTCATCCTTTCTTGATATCAAAAGAGGCTGTTGTCAAGGCCATTCGATAGCGCAATATACATTTATTCTCTGTGGAGAAATACTTGGGATCAGATTTAGAAACAATAATAGAATTAAGGGTATGGATGTTAACAATTTCCCAGTTCTTATTACACAATATGCTGATGACACCACTCTTATATTAGACGGCTCAGAAATTTCCTTAAAAGAATCTGTTGTTGAATTGAATAAGTTTGCAAAAATATCTGGTTTGAAACTTAATATTGACAAAACCCAAGTTATTTGGATTTGGAGTGAAATCTATAGTAACAATACTTTTTTACCTGAATTAAAATTACAGTGGGGGCAAAGTAAATTTACTCTACTAGGAAATGATTTTAGTGTCAATCTGCATGAGATTCCAAAATTAAACTTTGATAAAAAATTGATTAAACTTAAAACACTTATTAAAACTTGGAGTAAAAGATGTCTTACGCCTTTAGGAAAAATAGTTCTGATTAACTCTCTCCTCATTTCACAACTTAATTATTTATTTATATCTATACCAAACCCGAGTGAACATATATTGCAACATATTAACTCCATTCTCTTTAAATTTTTATGGAACAGTAAGGTAGATAAAATAAAAAGATATGTAATAACTCAAAATTATTATCACAGGGGGCTCAAAATGGTTAATATTAGGATATTTATTGATTCCCTGAAATTAAGTTGGATAAGAAGACTGTTACATAAGTCATCAAAGTGGACATCAATTTTCAAATCATTATTTGACTTTAATAAAATGTTAGTATGTGGAAGTGGGTACATTCAAGAGTGTCTAAATAAGTGTAAAACTAATTTTTGGAAAGATGTGTTTAAAGTTTGGCTAAGACTAAATGATTCTGACAGGGGTAAGAAAATGCAAGAAAAGTTCTTTTTAAAAATGCCACTGTGGTATAATAAAAATTTCACTAAAGGAAAAAAGCCAGTATTTTACAAAGAGTGGTATAACAATGGTGTAACAATCGTTAATGATTTGGTAAAAGAACAAAATACGTTGTCTTTCTACACTTTTGGAGAATTTGCTGAGATGTACAGAGTTAGAACTAATTTTCTTGAATATCAAGGGAAAATTTTGGCTATTAGAGCTTACTTACAGAAATCTAATAGTGACTTTGATAACGAGTAATAATTTATCCATTAGTTCCTATTAATATTGCAGTTTTTATGAATTGGACAAAAGGCTGCAAGGACCTGTATAATTTAATGATTAGCAGATGTGTTACTTCTACCAGCTCTACCCACCCGTAGGGGCACATCAACTTTCTGAGAAATCATGCCATAGTCTCAATTTTTTTTTGTGCACAAAATTATTGAAGCAAAATATTATCTAACTTCCCTTTTTGGGACCCTGCCCTAAGTCCCTAGCAGGCATATCAACTTTCTGAACTTGAACTTCCCACATCTACATATGTTTCAGATAAAATAACGAAATCCATTTAAGTATTAAAGATGAGGAGCATTTGAAGAAAAATATTGACTAACTTTCTTATTTGGTGCCCCACCCCCAGGTCCCTACAGATTGAATCAACTTTCTGAATTTAAGAAATGATCACTCACCTGCAATATTGTTTCAGATCTAATTTAGTTGAAATCTACACAGCATTAAAAAGGATTAACATTTTGAAGCAAAATATTGTTTTATTTCCCCTTGGGGTGGAATCAAATTTCTGAATATAAGAAAAAAATTGTACAATACCTGATGAAACAGGCCAAATTTGGTTGAAATTCATCATGGTATGAAAAAGTTTATGCACGACCTGCAACGGACAGCTCACAACGAAGCACCATGGCTATACAAATAACAGACTGACCAAATAAAATAGGCTGCCTATATTCGATCACTTAAGCATAAAATCAGGAATTAAATCAATATATCCTTACCTTTATCAGTGAATTCAAATCTGTTGGTGCACCTTTAACCAGACACATTCCATCTTTGTTAATATGTTGTAACCACCTTCAACATCAAAGGTTATTGACTTCATCAAAGGTCTAAATTTACCAAATAGAGACTTTTGATAAACTTTTTGACAATGTGCAGCAGAGTTACATTATCCTACCACCAGTGCTAAAATTACACAAAACAAGAGACATAGTGGCCTTGATGGTCACTTGAGATAAGCAATATTGAATATAAAGGATAGTTGTAACAGAAACAGAAATGTGACACTGAATATAGTAAGTCAGTGTCAATACATGCATACCATCAAAACTGCCATCCTGTACTAATAAGTCTTACACAAAGTTATTTCCAGTGGGAAATAACCAATATGATGCTAAAAAATGCAATTTTTCTATGAAAGTTTCGATAACGTTTAAAAAAATACTCTTCCCCTGGAAGAAATGCGAGACTCATTTTGGAAATTAAAGAACCTTAAGATGCTTCTATTCATGAAGACCATTTGATTCTACCATATCTGGGTGATGAGAAGATTTCTGAAATTCAAGTCAATTTGACCCCTTCTGGCCCTACCCATCAGCACCTTTGGGGTCAGCCAGGACCAATATGGGCATACTATTAAGCTGTCACCTTATGCTCATAATTCTAACCAAGTCTGAAATATTTCCAATGGAAATTAAACAAATAATGCTCAAAAATCTACTTTTCCTATAAAAACTATAGTAAAATTTACTTCCGTCCCATAGGGAAATCAGAGACCCTAGGGGCATGAAATTCACAATTTTTGTAAAACACCTTAAGATGCTATCATGTATGCAGAGCATTTGACTTTATCATATTTGGGTGTTGGGATGAAGATTATAGAAATTGAAGTCAATTTGACCCCTTTTGATCATGCCCATCAGTCCATAGGGGTCAGTCAGGTCCAAAATGATGCTTTCATTCATGATTAGTATTTGACTCTACTAAATCTTGGTCTCAAGAGGATTTTTGAAATCTGAGCCAATTTGACACCCTTTTCACCATACCCATCAGGCCCCTGGGACATGGGAACTGCATAATTCCAATTTTGCTTCAGCATAGGCCAGGGAAGGTTTCTGCAAAATTTCTTGTAAATCAGATCAGAGGTTTTCGTGAGGAAGTAAAAATTGTTTACAAACGCATCACGTCTGATGATGGTTATTAGAATAGGTTACCATGAGACTAGAACAGCTACATATAAGAGAGACTCTGATGTGTTTGACACTAAAGGTGACTGATCATTATGTCCCTACCTTAGCAGTCCTCTTTTTCCACTCATCACCTCCTCATAGCTAATACTCGGCATTTGAGTTACCTGAAACATAACACAATATGACACCATGTAGCATTAGCTACGATACGTCTATATCAGGCATGATCTGCCTGAGGATCGGATCTCCAAGTCTGACATTCAGGACAATGTACCTCTGCTCTAAACGAGGCATAACAATAACAAACTTGCAAAATCAAAATAAGAAATGGCCACCTGTCAGCCATTTTGTTTTTTTGACCAGTCCTAAAATCAAATAGGCCCAACTAGGGAACATGAGGAACCTACATATGAAATTTGAGAAAGATCCATCCAGTACTTCTAAAGAAATAGCGACAACAATAATTGTTTGCAGACAGACATATGATGGACAGAAAGACAGATGGACCATGGACCTAAGGCGATTTGAATACATTTGCTAAGGTGTTGATACTGAATCAATGCTTGTTATAACTTTGCCATTCCCTCACATAACAAAGTGAAACTTCGAAACATTCACTGTTTAAGATGCATATGAACAAATGGTATATGTTAATCTGAAGACGCTTCACTTTTGTGTTGCCGAATGCAGTATTTGATTTCCTGCAATTCGTCAAATTTTCCAAATATGTCTCTATATGCTGTAATTTGAAAGATATTTTCTGCAGACTCTTGTCACCTGATGTCACTTTTCCCGAGACAACCACTCCTTTAACTTTGTACATGTTAGTGTTTCCACTTCTCTTGCTTTCTTCAGCAAAAAGCATTTGTGGTTTTCCATGGCTCCTTTTCATGGTTCTTAGCCCCACATACACCTTATCTATCAGGTTCATAGTTATAAATAATAGAAATTTTATTTTGCATATTTGTTGTTCTAAGATTTAATGACAACTAATAAACAATATAATGATCAAGAATGATATGAAATAATGTTGGTGTAATAAAAGACATAGATAAGTCCTCATATATATTGCAACCATGATTGGCACTGATGAACGCTGTTATGGCAGATTGATTGGTAACAGCAACATGGCAAGCCATCAGACAAAAGGACTGGTAAAACTAAACATCAAAGCTGAACAGTTCCAGTCAAGGGAATGATATGCTAGAATCATAAACAACATATACGCATGGTACAAACTATGTGCTTGAGTCTAGAACAATGCTCCCATGTTAGAAATGATGAGCTGGTCACATAAACATGAACACATTGTGTTGTATTATCAGCAAGATTAAAATATAAGCATTTAGTTCTTGAAGTAAATGTCATACTGTAACTTTGCACACTAAACTCTCTGAGTATATGACTAATTGGAATCAAAGTGTTAATAGCACTTAAAGATGCTGTGCATCATGTAGTGAAATAAAGAAATAAAATAAGTGGTAATCAGAATATAACTTTAAGAAGTGTAAAAATAATAAATCTATCCTCCAGTGGAAATTACCAGGAAAAGATATTTTCTATACATAACAATTATCATCATCATCGATGACATTATAAGCTTGCATTCAATACAAAATTTAGGTGAAATTGATTTCAAAAAGCAACCTTAAACATTAATCTATGATGCATTTGCTTATCTAAGGTAGGTAGGTCTAACTGAACATATCTATATACATGTACATATGGAATTAAAATATTAAAACAATTGGTTGATTTAAGCAAAAAAATTAACAACAACTAGGGTATGTTCAAGTTCACCAAGTTGACAGGTGGATGATGTGTTATGCCAGTGCCAGATGAGCTAAACAATATAGTCCAGTCAATCTACAACAAAATAAGGCTCAACCTCCAACTAATTGCAACAGAGTTTATTTGGCCTTTTTCTTGAACACAGATATACAGGGGAAAACATATCAATAGTCTAGAAAAATCTAAATGGGGAAAATTGTAATTTTGGCAGGTATTTTTTACCCAGTGTCATATTTCTGCTGTCTTTGAAACTTTGCATCTATCTGACCTTTTTAAGTTTGTGGTCTTTATTTTAAAACACAATTCCTTGTTATTATGTACCGATGGAAAGCTCATCATTGATTATTAGTTTTAATGTAAATTTAACATACTTTCTTGATAATAAATTGGGGTTAAATGATAAGAGATCCCAGAGGGATCTTGGCGCCCACCATTTGAGGATCTATATTCAGTTCTTGAAGATTTGTTTATTTTTTTTTGTTTGTTACAGGTGTTTTAAATGTTCATGAACTGGTCTTCATTGAATGTACTCAATGATGGCACAAGATATTTTTATTAAGCACTTATTAGCAAATATCATTTGAAAAAGATCCCAAAGTATTTTTAGATAGCAGTCAGTTACAGGTAGATAATGGACAATATGTTTGTGCTGTATTACTGTCGACATCCAAGATGGCGGCCTGTGGGCCACCTTGATTTCAAATCAATCCAAAAAAGGTACAATGCACAAATAGGGACCAAGGGAAACCAATATCTATGAAATATCAGAAGGATCCATCCAGTACTTCGTCAGATAAAGCAGTAACAAGATTTTACTCTCAAATTCCAAGATGGCTGCCTGTCAGCCATCTTGATTTCGGATCAGTCCAAAAAGGTGCAATGCACAACTAGGGACCAAGGGAACTTGCATATGAAATTTGAGAAAGATCCATCCAGTACTTTGCAAGAAATAGCAGTAACAAACTTTTACTTCCAAAATCCAAGATGGCAACGTGTCGGCCATCTTGAATGCGAATCAGTTCAATAAAGGTACAATGCACAACCAGGGACCAAGGGGAAACTGCATATGAAATTTGAAAAAGATCCATCCAGTACTTTCTCAGAAATAGCGGTAACAAACTATTACTTCCAAAATCCAAGATGGCCACCTGTCAGCCATCTTGAATTCGAATCAATCCAAAAAAGGTACAATGCACAACTAGGGACCAAGGGGAACCTGCATATGAAATTTGAGAAAGATCCATCCAGAACTTTTCCAGAAATAGCGGTAACAAGAATTGTTTACGGACGGACGGACCACGGACCACGGACGCAGGACAATTTGAATACCCCACCATCTGATGATGGTGGGCTAAAAAAATATACCCCTATGCCCTTTAGAATACCCAAGATACATGAAAAAAGAAAAAACACACACACACATTTTTATTTATATATTTCAAATTGATACGTTATACACAGGGAATTGCTACTACATAACAACCGTGTATGTAGTATTGAAATTCTCTTCCATTCAGCCCTACGGCTTACTAGTTAAATAATATGCACTTGTCAACCTGTTGGGTGCGCGACACTGAAGTTCAAAGTTGAAAATTATCTTATCGATATTGCATTGCACGTGCCTGACCCATGTGAGAGGTCACCATATAAAAAGACATGACCAAGCCTAGACACACGCTTTTTTGTCAGTCAGGGTGCGTGACAGACATTAAGCCAGAAGGGAAGGATATCTTGCGGGTCTCGCGTCCGCGATTTGCATTTGCTTGGTAAAATTTTCAGCCATTTGAATTTATTTTTATCGATTCCTTTCCTTCGCTCCGCGAATTTCATTTGTTTACATTTGGTTATCAGCTGTAAGGTTATGCGTCGTAAGCAGGCTCGCGGTAAACGGTTGCCTTTGTCGGTGACTTTCGATAATTGTGAGTCTGACGATGACCTCTCTCTCCATCCCGGAGAGACGGAGGCAGAGGGGTGTGATGATTTCTTTCCGGGACCCCTTCCTGATTTGAGTTCGGGTCTAAGCGACTCTGTCGCTTGTGCAAGTGATAAGGACTCTGCACAGCCGCAGTCACCGAACGTTGTTCGGAATGACAAATATGGCGGCGTCGGAGGCGATGCCCCGACTGTTCCTTTGCCCCGTGGGGGTAAGAAACGTCCCGTCTGCACTGAGGCTGCCGCTGGTAGCGAGTTTCAACTCATGGCGAAACGTATGAGGGCTCTGGAGGAGCAGTTAGCAGACGTTAAGCGGGACCGGGCGAGTTCCCGTACAGGAAACCAAACGGCTGGTGGGTATGGCAATGATTATGTTGTTGACAGTTTTGACTCAGATTTTTTTAGTATGACGGACCCGTTGGGTCTTCAAGATACAGAACAATCTTCCATTGAGTTAGATGATATATATTCTGATATTTTACCCACAGAGGAAGGTCATATGGAGGACTTGTTCGCCATCCCTGACTATGTATATGGTGATGTAAAGTTGGGCCCTAGTGTTCACGAGGGACTTGCCAAACTGGTAAATACTGCGTGTAGGAAAACGTCGGACATTTCTAAAATGGCAGAAAAATACCCTGTACCGGCAAATTGTGGCGATATGACCGTCCCACGATGTAACCCTGAGATTTGGGGTAAACTTGGTAAGCCTTTACAGGCAAGAGATTTTCAACTTAAAGAGGCCCAGAAGTCGGTGTCTGACGGTATGGTACCTGTGATGAGGCTGACTGAGGCTCTTATGAGTCATCCAGACTTTCGAGAGAAGTTCAGGCCTCTGTGTATTGATGCTCTGTCCATGCTAGGGAATGCAGTACATACATTGTCTGTGAAACGTAGGTTTCTTATGAGACAAGCCCTCCCGTCATCATATCATGCCTTATGTGGGAAAGACATGCCAATAACTTCAAATCTATTTGGGGATAATCTTGCAAGGAAGGTGAGAGACATTTCTGAGGCTAATAAGGCTTTCAATGTTTTGTCTTCACGAAAACAGGTACAGCGAGGAGGTTGGAGTGGCGGCCAGAGAGGGCGAGGGGGCTATAGCCAGTACAGAGGCTCAGCAAGGCCTTTTTTACGGTCGGGCCAGCGGGGCCGGGGACAACGGCGACCCGCATACATGCAGCAAAGTCAAAGCCAGAGCCAGACACAGAAAAAAGAATAGCCCCTAAGGTGGGTGTTCCATCTGGTAGAATCGGAGAGCGTGTAGGATACGGTGCGTGGTCTTACACTTGAGTTTGTAGAAATCCCTGTGCAACATAAATTGCCAGGACCAGTAGCTTTTAGTAAGGAAGAGATGGAGATTGTTGATTCTGAGGTGAATGATTTAGTATCCAAAGGGGCAATAACTCAGTCTATTCATGAGAAAGGTGAATTTGTTTCT